TATATATATATATATATATATATATATATATATAAAATAAATAAAAAGACTAATTGAGTTTTACAACAGATTACACTATTGGCAAAAAGTTTGGAAATGTAAATATTTTTAATGTCTTTGGAAGAAAAAAAAAAAAAAGGTATCTTAAGCTAACCAATGCTGCATTTATTTAATCAAAAATACAGTATAGTCAGTATTATGAAATGTTAGAATTGAAAAAGAACTGCTTTTTATTTAAATATTTTAAACAGTAACTTATTTCTGTAATAGCAAAATAGAACTTTCAGCATCATTACTCCAGTCTTCAGTGTCACATGATCCTTCAGAAATAATTCTAATATGCTGATTTGGTGAACTGTTAAGACATGTATAATCTTACAAAAAATTTATATTTTAAATAAATGCCATTTTATTCAAAGAAACCAGAAAAAAATACCATCGTTTCCACAGAAACAAAGCAGAGCAATTGTTTTAAAGGGGTCATTAACTGAGAAATCAAATTTCCCTTGACCTTTTGACATATAAAAGGTCAATGTACTATAAAATCATCCTTTAAGTTTCAAAACTTTCTCATTAGTTTAAAAACAGCTTATTGAAACCAAGCTCAGAAAACAACTTGTTTTGGAATGTGCCACTTTATGATGTAATAGTGTGGCTAAGCACCGCCTCCGCAGGAGAAGATTAATGCCTGCTTCTACATCACTGCCTCTTTAGCCCCACCCACTGACACACACTTGTAGCAGGAGGAGAGGAAATACTAGAGAGACGCAAACACAGGATTACTCTGAAACTCTGTTTGTTTGTTTGTTTGTTTGTTTGCTTTACTTTGCTACGGATTCATTTTTAAACAAGGCAGTATGGTGCAGGCTTTTCAGAGAGACTAAAAGTAAACGATAATGCAGTGCTGAGTCTGACTAGAGTGGATCCAACAGTAATGTCACAACACATAAGTGTGAGTAAATGTCGCAACACATAAGTGTGAGTAAATATGAACAGGGTAGGGCAATGTCTATAGTAACATATTAAACTGTAAAATAACTGTAAAAAGCATGATTATTCTTCTTATCAATCCACCAGTTCACATTTACAGCTCTGTGTGTTTGCAGGGTAAAAACTAGGGATGTGCGCGAAGACTAATTTGACTGACGTTTAAACGAAAGTTTTTTATCCGACTAGTCGACTAGTCTAAAAGCAAGAAACCCCCAAAAGATGGTAAGAAAAGCAATGCAACAATGCCCATTTTACTTACTCAGACCATGCGTTATTTGTTCAGTGAAATTATCAACATGGTCTGGTGAAAGACGGGACCTGAGGCGATTAACAATAAAATTCCTGCACTTGAAAAAACGCGCTCGGCAGGAACCGAAGTCGCAGGCACGCAGAGATAACGAAAAGCAAGCCGATAAGTTTCAGAAAGCGCCTGGACATCCCGCACCACCACCGAGGTGCGACGACGTGGACGGGATCGCAGGTTGTAGTGAATGACGTGATTGACATTTGCTGGCTTTGGCCAGCCTCTAAGCTAACGCCTACATGCCTGTATTAAATATGATTACGCATCACTCCAGTAGAGTTATTTATTGTAAGACAATTTGACATTACACAGTTTACACAAAACTTTTCCGTTTCCTTCTAATTCAAAATAATCCCACACTTTGCTCGTCTTTCGC